TGCAGAAGGCTCCAGTCTCAATAAAAATTAAATAAAATAAATAAACAAAAACAGAAAACCATATTTTCCTTTCCCTTTAAAATGTCTTTGAACGTGCTAGACAGGTTCGAGGGTACAAGTGTGGCCCTGGCTCTTTTTTTCCTAGTGCTACCCAGAAAACATAGAGACCACATCAGATTCTGCCCATGACCACCCCTGCAATTTGCAGCCAAGACAAAAGAAATGCCTGATAGGACAAGTTAAGGGCATCAAAGAGAAGAGAGTTAAGATTGTTTTGGGGAGGGTAAGAGAAGACAAAAAGATTGATAAGCCCGTGCATGAAAAATGAATTGAAAAAGGAAAAAACAAAGGTAAAATATGGGTGGGGCAAAAGTAGGTTTACAATTGTTTATATGGAAAATAATACAATCATTAATAAATAATAATACAAGAATAAAGTCTGTATTTCACATACTCACAATGTAAACCTACTTTTGCCCCTCCCTGGATGTAGGAAAAGGAAAAAGAAAATATCATTTATGACAGCAAATAGTGTTATCTATTCTTGCCCTTCTATTTTTCCTTTATTCTCTCCTTGGAAGGAGTCACTTAAGCTCTGAACATTTAGGATATAAGCTGAAAGTAAAAAGTAAATGGCAAGTATCCTAGGCGTACTGCTTTTTCCCCCTAATCAAAACTTAAAAAAAAAAAAGTATAGAGTGATTTGCAAAAACAATTGTGATTAAATTCAACAGATTTTTAAAGTAACTTAAAAGAAAGGAATTACAGGGAAATAAAACTACAAAGAGATCATCTTTGTGTAGGGATGCATAAAGGAGAGAAAAAGATTTTCCCCTCAGCTCTTCTGATTTGCTCTAGCCGGGTAATCCTGGGTACTGGCAGACTACGGAGCAAATGGACAGATGCTTCCAGGGAGCAAATGGACAGATGCTTCCAGAAAAGATTATCTTTTATCTGTCATGCAGGGAATAACTCTGGCCCTATGACTGTTGATTCTGTGATCTAAACCTTGTATAAACCTTGCTATAAGTATCAAGCAGGAAAAAAAGCACACTAGTAATAATAATAATAATAATAATAATAGTGATGATAATGACAATAACTAACATTTATGAGCACTGATGAGGCATAAAGCACTATCTATGTATAATCTCACTTAATCCTCACCAGAACCTTATGGTTGCTGTCATTATCCCCATTTTACAGAGGAGGAAATTGAGGAAACAAAGAACCAGTTGTACTTGGATGGATTTTCTATACTTGAGGCTCAGCAGCAGCAATCTGCTGCTTTCCTGCTTCAGTAGGAATACACACACTTCACCCTGTCCTCCCACCATCTACTACAAAATCTTTGCAAATGCAGATCCTAATCTGGGCCTTTCACTTCCAGGGTAACCCCCCAGCTATGACTTCCACTGGCAGTGCACCCTGGGAGTGCGGAATACGAGCATCTAGCTCCCCCTGAAAATAAAGTTTATGTCCGTATGGATCCTTGCTATAGTCAGTAAATGCCCTTTGCCCTGACAGAGGCCTTTCGCGTTGCCAGGAGGAACTCTGAGGGCCCTGCAGGAAAGGAAGAGCCTCTGAAAGGCTGGGAACTAGGAAGACACCTTTGCACAGTGACCTCTCCATATCCATTTGGGGCTTAACGACTTCCAACTTCTCCTTCACCGACGTGCCTGCCAGAAAGCCCCTTGCTGTGCTGTGTAGAAGCAGTCTGGACCAGTCAACCAGACTAACAATCCAACAAACGCACCATTCCTTTCCTTCTCAAGGAATCCCCATCCCATCTAGCTGTGAGTTCCCCTGGACTTTGCCAAGAACACGCAGAACCAGGCTGGCTTGGTCATTAAAATTTCTCATCTGCTTCTGTCCCTCAGCTCGAGGCCCACCTTGCCGTTCAGTTACTCGTTTTCTGTTCAACATTTATTCTAGCCATTTGCTAAGTATGAACTAAGTTTTAAGTATTTGTTCTCAAAAGGCGGGGGGGGCGGGGGCGGGCGCAAAATGCTTGATGAAAATGCAACAGAATGCTACTAGGAAAGAAAAAAAAAAGGAACAGCTAGAAATCAAGATTTGAAGATGCAACCTAAGCTTCAAACTTTAATATTGTAAAATACAGGCCTTAGGGATTAACTAGATCAGCGGTTCTCAACCTGTGGGTCGCGACCCCTTTAGGAATCGAACGACCCTCTCACAGGGGTTGCCTAAGACCATCGGAAAACACACATATTACATATTGTTTATGTGATTAATCACTATGCTTTAATTATGTTCAATTTGTAACATTGAAATTGGTGGTCACCACAACGTGAGGAACTAACTGTATTAAAGGGTCGCGGCATTGGGAAGGTTGAGAACCACTGAACTAGATGAAAAAATGTTAAATTGGGGTTCGTGGAGCCTAAGAAAGTCATTAACTCCCTGAATAGTATGTAAAATATCTGTGGGGTTTTTTTTCTTGTTTTGCTGTTCTGGGAAGAAGGTCTATAGTTTCATTAGGTTATCAAAGGGAAAAAAATTTACTTATACCTCCAATGCCTAAAATAAGGCCCGATATACAGTAGGGTCTCAATAAATTTTTTTTTTTAAAAAAAACATTCAATGTTTGTTGAATAAATGGATGGTTGAAGGGTCTGAGCTCTAACGCATCTAATTTTATAGATGGAGAAATTGAGTCCTAGAAAGGATATAACTGCTTCTTCAGGGTCATGAGCCTAAGTAGTCAGGACCAGTAGGATTAGCTGTTTTAACTCTTTCCACTGCCAGTTGGTGTTTTTTTGCCTTTTAACTTAATCGTATCTTTCACTCCATTTCATTTTCTTTTTCCCAACCCATTTCTTTTTAAGCAGAAAAAACGCATCTTATTTCCTAGTTGGAAGTTGCCAGCTAGTGCATATCCCAAAGGGGAGGTGGGGGAGTGAACAGCAGGAGGGTCTATGGAAAAGGCCACCAGGATAATTTGTTTGTGATAGCACACACAGCACGGCTACATTCCTATGTGCTGAGGACGTGATTAATATGGCATCGAAATGGCTGTGGTTGATGGAAATATGTAAAGCTAAAATAAGTGAAGTTAGATCTAGGGGGTGGCAGTCAATCGTAAGCTTAAAATTGGCCAGCCCAAGCAGCTTTCCCATGAGCAGGCCTGCTTGGTTGAAAGCTCCTTTTGAGGGCCTTCGTTGCTTGTAAAGTAATTAGGAAGTCCTGGAGAATTCAAAGCAGGCCTTCCCTCCCCTCCAAACAGTTCACAATCAAACCCAGCAGACAAGAAAGGCGAGACTCAAACTGCCACCCAGAGGAGAGGGCTAGGGAGAGGGCCTAGTCCTCAGAGAGCTGCTCCTAGGAGAGGTTTTGAAAGAGAGCAAGGGACGCATCCTGTGACACAGCAAATTTCTTGTGCTAACAACTCCCTCGGCAAACTGAGGCCAACAGGAAGACTCTGAGGTCTAGGACATGTCAGAAGCAAGGGAGGAGAGCTCTTCTTAACCTAGTGATACCCCCAGAATGCTAATTACTTGCAGAAGATCCTTTCAGTAACCCCCCCCCCCCATCGTAAATGCAAGTCATTTTGGAAGGGAATCTGTTACCACACTCTGGGTTGTGTTTATGGATTACCTGTATTATTTGGTAGTGGTAGAAAATGTTTAATGAGGAAGAAAGAGCCCCCCAGCTGTGTGACCTTGATGGAATCACTTAACCTCTCTGAACCTCTGTTGTTTGATTTGTAAAACAAAGGTTTCAATTTAGATAGCATCAGAAGCACTTTTCAGCTTTGGCATACTACATATTATATCTAAGTTTGAGGTTTAACCCATTGGCAGATTTTTCAAACATGATCAGAAGAGGTTACCCTTCCGCTAGAACAAAACAAAACAAAACACAAAAGTCCCCCCCCCCATATTATTTTCTTAGATTTCTCTTGCAATTGAGATAGCAATTAAAGGGGAGAGGGAGGAATGTTAATTTATTGGAATGAACAGCAGCCCTATTGCTCTAAGATGATGAAAACTTCAGAATCTTATGCTCAAAGGGGAGGTTTTTTAAAAGATAGGCTCAGCCAATGATTTGAAGACCTTACCTCCACTTTCTATGGTGGGATTATGGAGGATTCAAGCCAATTTATTTATTATTTGAGTTCCACTCTCAAAATGTAGACATTTTACAAAATCTACGCAGCAGTCATTTCATTAATAGAGCAAATAGGCCTGTTTTGTGATGATCTGGGGGCCTTCCATGCCACGTGCCTCAAGTTTCCCTCAAAGATTGCTAATAGCTTCCTGCATTTTGCTCACATAACATCCAAGGATTAGCCAGGTAGCTTAGTTTCTCCCTTCCTCATAAATCTAACAACCCTGGGGTTTCAAAACTCCCCGCCAAGCTTCGGACTACCTTCCCCAACAAGAATCTAATATGACACTGAAGCTCAGAAAGGCAGCTAAACAAAAGCTCTGTAGCAAAGGACTTTGCAGGTTAAGAGAAAAAGTAAATGTATTTCGAGTTTAATGTGTTCCCCTTCAAAAAAAAATCCATAACCTAAAACTTCTATCTCTCCTATGCTGAACTTCAGTTAAGGAGACATAACTCAAAGATTCAGTTTCCTTGGGGAAACTGAACTCAGCAAATGACCCAACTCTGCACCTCTCCTGGGCCCCTGAGAGGCCTGAAATAGCCCCAAAAGTGGGGAGTGGAGAGCAAACTGTGAGCCCCACTGAGTGAGGCCTGCCCCACTTCGTAATGGGGACTTGGGAGCCTCCAAACACAAAGGCCCAACTCCCGATGGGGATAAGACAGGAAGGGGGCCTGACTCCGGGGGTGCTGTGTCTTTCCTTATGTCACCTATGATGGGTGCCTTCCTTGCCAAAGATTACGCCATTGAGGATGGTGCTCACTGTTGGATCCCTGGCTTCCCTGCGTCTCATCGCCAAGTGGGGAGTGTGTGTGGAGGCCCTTGGGCCTGCCTAGGCCAAGGGGCGGTGGGCCGAGGTATCTGTACTCACCTGGGACTCCAGAGCTCCCTTGACTGGACCCTTCAGCTCCTGCGACCTCTGAGACGCCCTCCTCCGGTGGCCACCCCTCATGCAGACCTCCAGGTGTCAGGACAGGTTTGAGCACCTGAAAGGACAAATAGATGGGTAAGGTTACTCTGCTGGCTCAGAAGAGAAGGGAGAGATTGGGAGCAGGGTCAGTTTGTAGGACATTAAGGGGAGGGGAGGGGAAGGGGAGGGGAAGGGCAAAAAGGCACACCTGGGCCACGGGCTACAAGGCAGGGATGCTGCTGCAGGAGAGCCTTTCAGAGGTGCCCACAGGTCTCCCAGTTTGAGAAGCGTCTGGGACAGAGAAGGGGGTCCTGGTCTGAGATCGAAGCAAGTGGGCCCAGGACCTTTGACTCCATCCCTTCCTTGGTCTCCAGCCTAAGGCAGGGAAGGCAGAGGGACTCAGAGCGGCCACAGGGCTTGGAATGAGGGGAGAAGGGGAGAAAAGGCACAAGGGAGGAACGCTGGGTAGGCAAGGACACCCAGAGGGAGCAGCCAAAAGTGGGCCTGAGGGGGCACCATGCAGTAGCCCCCAGCCGGGTGCAGCCACTAGAGGGCAGGTGGCAGGGAGGGGGCTCTGTGGAGCCCTCACCCCTTCCTTACTCCAGAGGCAGTCTGGTTTTCTCACACAGGCAAAACCTAAGCTAGTTGACTGGGCTGGGACGACCAAGTTGCCCAGCAGCTTCCTGGACATTTTCCACTGGGGCGAGAGGGGGGGGTGAGGGGGGGAGAAGCAGACTGAGGTGGGGAAGGGTCTCCCTTCTCTATAGGGCTCTAGGGATTGGCATCAGGTGCAAATGCTTGGAAGTTTCCATCAGGCCCTTGATGAACTAAGTGACAGCGTGGCTTTTTTCAAAAGGGGTGCATTAGCAGTTTGAGGGTTCAAAGAAACGCCCCCCCCCTCTTTGCCGACCTTCCCCAGCGAAGGCAAAATGGGGAGAAAGGGCTTGATCAGCTCCCACTGGCCCCAGGCTGACGCAACCGCCCTGACGAGGGAGGGAAAGGCGCACAAAAAGCCACAGGTTTTCACTCATCGTGAAGGGGAAGGGGAGAGGGTCTTGGCCTGGGGTCCCACCCGGAGTGAGACACCCC